AAATGAGACATTAAGTTTGTAGTGGTTGCCATTGAATACTTCACCAAGTGGGTAGAGGCTGAACCCTTGGCTATCGTCACGTTGAACAAGTTGAAGGATTTTGTTTACAAATACATTATTTGTCGGTTTGGAATCCCCCACACTATAATAACCAATAACGGAAAATAGTTCGACAGTGAAGACTTCAATTCTTTCTGTGAATAGCTCGTCATCAAGAAGAGCTTTGTTGTTGTTTACTGACCTCAAGCCAACAGTCAAGTAGAGGCTATATACAAGGTCATCAAGCACACTATTAAAAAGAAGCTCAACGCCTTGAAGGGGGGATAGGCCGAAGAATTTCCTGAAGCCTTGTGGTCCTACAAAACAACAACTAGGAGTTCGATAGGTGAAACCTCGTTCTTTCTATCATACGAGTGTGAAGCAATGGCCCCAGTTGAGATGGGAATCAGTTCGTTCTAAAGGGAAGTTTTCAACGAGGAAGTAAATGAAGACCTTCTCCACCTGAGGTTAGATCTAATTGAAGAGCACCGGGCCAAGTCTTAATTAAGGGTCTCCTCATATCAACAGTGAGCCAAACGATACTTCAACACCAAAGTCAAAAATAGAGACTTTGAAGTGGGTGACCTAGTTCTCGGAAAGTCGTCTAGGGAACCCAAAACTCGAACTTGGGGGCTTTTGGGCCCAAATGGAAAGGTCCTTTCAAGATCTCTGAAAAGCTCGCACCATGATCTTTCAACCTGGAACGCCTCAATGGTGAAGCGATACTGCGAGCTTGGAATGCTGAGCATTTGCAAAGATATTACCAATAAGCAGCTCGCGTTCCGCTTATGTCTTTCTTTTTGTTGTTCATTGTGAGGTTGTTCAAAGCCAAAGTACTTTATCAATAAAAGAGGTATAATTCATAATCTTTCTTTTGTTCATTATTGATGTTTTAATTTGTTTGGCATTTATTCATTGCTTCAAAGATCGTGACCTACGCGATAGCATTCCAAAAAAAAAAAAAAAAAAAAACTTGAAGTCAAAAGTTCAAGAAAAGGCAGCTTATCTCAATAAGCCACACCAAAATCCAACTCTATAAGGGTGAAATATCCTAAATCAACGAAGTTAAACTTGAAAGAAAAATTTCAAGAAAAAACATGTTGAAAGGAAATCGGCCTTAAGCCGGCAACCAAAACTCGAAACGAACAACTGATCCAAAATCAGAGTTCTTTGTTGCAAAAGATTTCCTCGCACACAACCAGAAAAGCTCTTCAAGAAGCGAGCTGTGCACAACTTGGAGCAAATTCAGATCTTCTATTACAAGTCCAATTTGGATGACTGAAATGACTCTACAGAAGTATAAAATTTTTGCTCTACGAGGATGTACTGAAATATCTTCATTTTCATTGATAAAGTGCTATTACATTCTAGAAAAAAAAAAATGATGTTTCAATCAGCAGGGGGAGCAGGGGGATCATCCTCGACCGGTCCAAGGAGCTCGTCGCCGACTAGAAGAGACAGTTCCTCGATGGAAGGAATGGCAACAGTTTCTTCAAGGTTAGGAGCCTCACCTGGGAAAATTGTAGTTAAGGGAGTCGGGTCCTCAACTTCTTGCTATAGCCTGATCTCCTCCTCACCTTCCTTGACCTCTTCTTCACCTCCACTATCATCCTCAGAGTCATTCGAGTAGATGTAGGCCATTCCTTGGGCTTCGACCTTCATCCTCTCTATTTCTTTCTAATAAGCTCGTAGGAGGAAAGAGAAGTCAATTGAAGGGTGGGGTTCCCACAATTTCTGTACAAGGAAGACCGACGTCAGCCAAACCCGAGCAGTGATGGCCTCATTCAACTCTGCAATTTGAAGTCTGAGTTGCCTGGCCTCAATTTCGGTTTTCCATCGAGCCTCCACCTCCCAAGCAAGATCGAGCAAGGATTGATTGAATTTAGCCTCCCAGTCCGAGGCAGCCTTTTGAGCCGATGATAGCTCAGAATTATGTTTGTTATTGGCACCTTATTGCTATGCCAAATTCTTTTCAATCTCAGTTGCCTTAGCTTTAGCCTTCACTTGCACGACTGATAAGATCTTGAAAATACAAATTTAGTTAGTGGTTTATGGGGATTATTTGTGAGAAATTAGACTTAATTTGGTAAAGTTGCTTAATATTTTCATAATTGTCTTTTACGAGATCATGGGTGTGTTTGAGTGTTTTTCAGGCTACTAGTGCTAAATGTTATGCTCAGATAAAGAATCATGTCAGCAATGGAATGAGTGACGAGTAGAAACAAACTGATCAAGAATTGGAGTTGAATTGAAGAAGTTATGGAGGTTTGAAGTAAAGAGAAGATTCTAGATTACGCTCCAGCTTGAGCATACCTTGGTAATTTGAACATATCTAGAGCTATAAAACTCAAATTAAGACAATTCTTTAACTGTTGGAAATCTAATTCAAAGGGCTACATTTAATATGTTTACCACTTCTCCATAATCCATTGTTATCATGCTCAAAAATCACCATCTCTAAAATGTTGTGGAATGATGCGAGAATAAGAAGAGTTTTTACTGTGCCGCAACACAATGCCGCGACACACTTTGTCCAGTAGCTCCCATGCTGGGGCATAGTCACGATAGTTAAGAAATTACATCTGTTTTTGTTTAGGAAAATAGGGTTAAGAGTCCTAAACCAAATCGAATTAAGGAAAATAAAACCCTAACCCTTATGGGATATAAATAGAAGTCTTTTAGCATTATTTTGGGGATTCTTTTGGGGAGAATAAGAGGAGGCTAATGCAAGAGAAGATCAAAGTGACAAAATTTCTGAAGCTTTTGATTGGCAATATAGAGAAGCCTTCTTATTTCTTTCTTGAACTCATGTTTCTTATTTCAACGAAGATGATTGTTTCTTTCATGTTTATTATGAACTTAATTTATTCTCTAGGGCTAAGATGTAGCCCAATCTCTTGATTATGTGTTGATTTATGTATGTTAATTTTTATTAAGAATTTTTCCTAAGTTCTACTATTATACCTAATGCTTTTGATTCTTGAGGGCCTAAGAATTGAATGAACTAATGGACTAGGTTGAGATCGGGAGATGATACTTAGTTAGTCTACTGTAGTAAAACCATAGTTTGAGCAAATGCTAGAGATAGGTTACCGCGACTTGTGAGGTTTTGGAAAACTCTATAGAGCGTAATGATCTCCAATTGCTTAAATCTGATTAGAGATAATTCAGGTTAGTAATTATGAGTTAATTTGATAACTGTTTGAAAGAAAGTTATTGGAAATTTAGGGAGTTTGACCTGTAGGAAGAGCTTAATAAAATTAGCATAAGTGATCAATCCATGTGAATACGAGTTGGTGTGAAATCTATACCCTAGGTTTACTCATCTTTCTTTAAACCAATAGATTTATTTTAATCAGTTCTCTTTTTAATTTCAATTATTGTTAATTTTATTTAATTTAAGTTTTCCTTGATACAATTTGGATTGATCAAATAGTAATAGGATAGTTTAATTGGTGATTAATAATAGTAATTCCCTTGGGTTCGATATTCGTATTTATACACTTTATTACTTGCATGATTTTGTACACTTGCAAAAATCCACAAAAAGTTTTTGGCGCCATTGCCGAGGAATTGCTTTAATATTATCAATATCAATACAAGCTGTTTAATTGCTAGTTTGGTTTTTCTTATATTTTTTTAATTATTTTTGTTTATAGTGCTTTAATTTTTAGTTCTATATTTTTAGTGTTGGATTGTATAGAGGAGTTAGTTTAATGGCTGATACAAGAGTTGAAGTTGTTCAAAGAGCATTAAAGGACTACTCTAGTCCTACTATTGAGGGTGCTATTCTAGCATCAGAAGACCACCAGTTTAGGCGAATACTTTTGAAATAAAGCCAAGAATTATTCAATTGATACAACATTCGGTTCAATTTCAGGGTTACCTAATGATGATCTCAACTTGCATATCACAAACTTTCTAGAGCTATGCAACACATTCAGACACATTGGAGTATCCGATGATGCAATTAGGCTTAGACTTTTCCCATTCTCTCTTCGGGATAAAGCTAAGGCTTGGTTGATTTCTCTGCCATCAGGAAATATTACTACATGGAATGAGTTAGGCTCAAGCATTTCTTATGAAATATTTCCTACCTGTCAAGTCTGCTAAGATGAGGAGTGACATCACTAATTTTTTCCAGCAAGATATGGAGTCACTCTATGAAGCTTGGGAGAAATATAAGGATCTCTTACGGAGGTGTCCTCACCATGGGCTGCCAATATGGTCGCAAGTGCGGACGTTTTACAATGGGTTGCTGCCAAATATGCAAGTGATGATTGATGCTGCAAGTAGGGGAGCTTTGAATAATAAAACACCAGAGGAAGCCTATAAATTGATTGAGGTGATGGCTACCAACAATTACATGAGACCTTTGGAAAGGAATGTTCCTAAGAGAGTAGCGGGAGTGCATGAAGTCGATGGCTACACCGTGTTGGCTACTCAACTTTCAGCTATTCAAAAGCAATTGGGAGTTGCCCTAAAGGTAAATGCTATTGAATCATCTTCCCTAACTTGTAAACTTTGTGCAAGAAATCATTTATAGAAGGATTGTCAAGAAGGAAATCCATTTGAACAATCGGAACAAGCTAACTATGTCAATAACTTTCAACGAGGGCAAGGGAATCCGTATTCTAGTACATACACTCCAGCATGGTGCAATCATCCAAAATTTTCATGGAGTAACAATAATGAGCACAAGCCACCACCGGGTTTTCAACCTCAAGAGAAGAGATCTAATATGGAGAGTGTGCTCACTAAGTTCATGGAGGAGTCGGGAAAAAGGTTTGACAAGGATGAAGCTCAACTCCAAAAGTATGAGTTTTATTGCAAAACTAATCTGCTTCCATAAGAAATCTTGAAACTCAAATGGGGAAAACCATAATATTTTAGCAGGAAGAGTTCAAGGAACATTGCCGAGTGATATTGCGAAAAATCTGAAGGAGAGAGTCAATGCTATCATGCTGAGAAGTAGTAAGGAGTTGAAGGAAGCAAGCAAAGAAGGAGAAACAAGGGAAAAACTTGAAGATGAAAAAGATGGCAGAACCAAGTGTACCGTGATACAGTGTTGCGGCACAGGGGCAGAAATTGACAAAAATGCCCATGCTACGATGAAGGATGACACGACTCTCCCGTATCCTCATAGAGTGCAGAAACAGAGATTAGACAAGCAATTTGGTAAGTTCATGGACATGTTTAGAACTTTACACATTAACATTCATTTTGTAGACATGTTAGAGCAAATACCGAAGTACGCGAAGTTCGTAAATGAGATTCTCACCAAGAAGAGAAGGCTTCAAGAACATGAGACGGTGAAGTTCACCAAGGAATGTAGCGCGTTGCTTCAAAAGAAACTACCACTGAAATCAAGAGATCTAGGGAGTTTTAGTATTCCTTGCACAATTGGTAGTTTCTATTTTGATAAAGCTTTATGTGCTTTACGAGCTAGCATTAAATTGATGCCATTTTCCATTTTCCATTTTCAGGAAGCTTAGTTTAGGAGAGGTGAATCCAACCATGGTTGATCTTCAATTGGCAGATAGATCCATAACATATCCTAGGGGAGTGGTGGAGGATGTCCTAATAAAGGTAGACAAATTTATCTTTCCAGTAGATTTTGTAGTTCTTGATATGGAAGAATATCGAAACATACCTTAAATATTAGGAAGGCCTTTTCTAGCTACAAGTAGGACTTTAATAGATGTACACCAAGGTAAACTAATCTTAACGGTGGAAGACGAACAAGTGGAGTTCAATATTTTTAACACGAAGAAATGTCCATCCGAATTAGATACTTGCTTTGAGATTAGCATCCTTGATGACAAAGTAGCAGAAACCTTAGAAGAAAACTACCCTAGCTCACCCCTAGAAAATTGTTAGTCAACTCTAGGATTATGGATGCTGAATTTGAGAGGGTAGACGAACAACGATTGAAGCCTTATGTGTATGGTGGATTGAAGGATAGAAGGGCTTGGACTTGCCGAGATGATACAGATTGAAGGATTTGAAAAGTCGAGCTTACGACTCTAATAAAGTGCTTCTTGGGAGGCAACCCAAGCTCTCAACTTTAATTTTGACTTTTGTTTTGAATTTATTTTAGATTTTCGTTTAATGTGTAAGTTGTGATAACTTTGGTTTGGTTTGATATGTTAGTTGTTTATGTTTTCCCCATAATTTCTATTATGCACACTAAATTGACCAAGAAAGGAGCATAGTGTATTTTTTTTTTTTTTAACTAGATTTCCAATGTCTAGTGGACACGGTAAACATTATGTATGCCTTCACGCGATTATCTCCACATTCATCTTGAACATGAAGGGTATTGTAGTTGTTCTCTTTGCACATTGAGGACAATGTTCATCTTTAACGTTGGGGATAAAGAATATTTTTTTTTATGGCCAAATTTAGTTTCATTCGATGGACATCTTTGAATATCTTTTGCTTTGAATTATCTCTTTAAAAGCTTTTGGGTGGAATTGTTTTAGGTGTGTTGTAGGGTCAAAGAGTTAATGTATTTTGTTTTGTTTTAGAACTCATACATAAGTCAATGATAAGACCTTAATTGTGAATTTGTAACATTGAGATTTTATTAACTTTCATGTAGTTAAAGATGATACTAGATAACAATTGCATTTAGTTATGACTCTCTTGGGAATTGGTTTGACTGGTTGAATAATTCGGAAACTTAGAGACGTTTTATGTGTGTTGTTATGGGCAATATTTTTTTTTTTTGTGAAAATTGTGCATAAACTCTAGAACTCATTTGATAACCACTTAAGGCGAAATCCTAGAATCTGTATTGCGTAGGATATGATTTAGGCAATTTTCTTTGGAACGATTGAGCCTTTCAAGCCAACCTATATTATGTTATCCCTAGTTAACCCTTTGAGCCTATATATACACTTGGTAAACCTTATTTTTTTATTTTTTATTTTTAAACCCACTATATCTCACGTTGATGATGAAGCCTAAAACACTTTCCGACCTATCTTATTACGAAAGACTTAATTACTGTGACCTTAGAAGAGAAACTCAAGAAAAGAAGTGTGGTTGAAGAAAATAAATATATGTTTTGGACCACAACCTGAGTATATGCAATAAGATAGGTTGGGGGTTGTGAAAAGAAAAAAAATGATAGTAGAAGCAAGGTGGGGTAGGCAAATTTTTTTTTTGCTAAGTTACTATCTTCCTTTAAAAAAAAAAAAAAAAAAAAGGCAAAAGAAAGAAAAAAAATTTTGAAAAAAAAAAGAAAAATTTGCATAAAAATAGGAATAAGTAGCAGGGGAGAAGAACTTGAAATAAGGTACATTACATGAGGGTTTGTGCTATTGTTGCAAGGAAGAGTTCAATCAATGTGAAAGGGTAGAGGGTGAATGAGAAGGGAAGCAAGAAGGAGATTGTTCATGGTCATTTACTGTAAAATATTAAGTCTCTTACATTTTGTTATAAATTCATTTCCGTTCTTTCATAAACCATTACCCTAGCCTAACGTTATAACCACGATAAAGACCTAATGATCCGAGGTAGTGATTGGATTCTACATTAGTGGAGATTGGTTTGAAAAGTGAGCATATGGAGTTTGATTGTACATTTGTTTCATTTTCTTACTTTGCCTATGGACGCTATGCATAAAATCATCTGGGTTTTTGGATGAATGGTTTGTGAATGATTATGAGAGGGTCAATAACAAAAGTGTAGTTGAAATTCACTTATTCTTTGCATTTGCGTGTTGTTAATTATTCAATTTGTTCACATTGACACAATTTTTGAGACGATTATATGTATGGATCCTAAAATGTTTGTTTGAGTCTTTAGTTTTGAGTCTAGGTGAGGTTAGGTTTGGATGTTTGTGGGTATCATCGCTAGAAACCCTTACGAGACTATAACTCATCCAACTAGGGCCACCTAGGGGTTCAAAGGCTTGTTGCATATGCTAAATGCAACCGTGACAATCTACAAAAGTGATTTAGGATAGTTTAGATATAGATTTTATTTTGTTTTTGTTTTGAAGCTAAAAGATTTGTTTTATGGCTTAGCTTGCTTGGGACTAGCAAGAAGCTGGTTGGCAGTTGTGATAAGAGCTTGAAAATACACATTTAGTTAGTGGTTTATGGGGATTATTTGTGAGAAATTAGACTTAATTTGGTAAAGTTGCTTAATATTTTCATAATTGTCTTTTACGAGATCATGGGTGTGTTTGAGTGTTTTTCAAGCTACTAGTGCTAAATGTTATGCTCAGATGAAGAATCACATTGGCAACGGAATGAGTGACAAGTAGAAACAAACAGATCAAGAATCAGAGTTGAATTGAAGAAGTTATGGAGGTTTGAAGTAAAGAGAAGATTCTAGATTACGCTCTAGCTTGAGCATACCTTGGTCTTTTGAAAATATCTAGAGCTGTAGAACTCAGATTAAGATGATTATTTGACTGTTGGAAAGCTAATTCAAAGGGCTACATTTAATATGTTTACCCCTTCTCCAGATTCCATCATTATCATGCTAAAAAAATCACCATTTCTGAAATGCTGTGGAGTGATGTGAGAATCAGAAGAGTTATTACCGTGCCGCAGCACAGTGCCGGGGCACAGTCACGGCAGTTAAGAAATTGTCATCTATTTTTTGTTTAGGAAAATAGGGTTAAGAGTCCTAAACCAAATAGAATTAAGGAAAATAAAACCTTAACCCTTGTGGGATATAAATGGAAGTCTTTTAGCCTTATTTTGAGGAGAATAAGATAAGGCTAACGCAAGAGAATCAAAGCAATGTTCTGAAAACCAGACCGGGAGTCAACTCAACCAAAGGCCCGATTTTTGGTTTTCACGGTTGGACCAGACCGACCGGTCGATCGGATCGGTGACGTATCATGTTGACGTCAGCAAAAACGAAAAAAACTTTAAAAATCCAGATTTTTTATATAACTAAAATCTAAAAACCATCAAAGTTTGATAGTTAATGTTTACAAATTCAATCTTCCCCCTTTCAATTACTCTTTACTGTAATAAAGCTTCACGATGAAACTTTCACTATCAATTTCTAATTTCCCATGAGAAATTACATTTTAGAGTTTCAGAAATTCAATTGACAAATGACAGATTCAAAATAAGAAATCAGTTTTAAGAGTTTCAAAATTTAAATTGACAGATTCAGTGATTCACAATTTCACAGCACAATAATACAATATCATGAATCATGATATGAAATAAAAGACATAGAAAGATAGGATGACTCTTTGTCTCTTACAGTAGTTTGTTACTTGGTCGATGGTAGATGGCAGCTCGTAGACGGTGGCAGATGTGAAGGCTGAAATCTGAACTGAAGTTGAAGTAGTGACTGACCAATCTGGCAGACCAGCAACGGTAAGCAAGAAGCAAGCTTTTAGATGGTGACTATGATGATTTAAGAGGTTAAACAGTTGAAGACTTGAAGTTGAAGAATGAAGACTCTGAACTGAAGTTGAAGTCACGACTGACGAGTAACGAAACTGTAGTGTAGCAGACCAGCCATGGCAAGGAAGAAGTAGAGTAGTAGACCAACGATGATTGAAGAAGTTGAAGACTTGAAGGCTGAAGCTGAAGCTTGAAGGAGATCGCGAATGGAGGGGGATTGGACTGGAGCCTGAAGAGGTTGATTGAAAAGGAGAAGATCGCGATGATTGAAGAGGTTGAAGACTTGAAGAGTGAAGACTTAAAAGCTGAAGACTTGAAGACTTGAAGGCTGAAGACTTGAAGACTTGAAGGCTGAACTTGAAGCTTGAAGGAGATCGCGAATGGAGGAGGAGGACTGGACTGGAGATCGCAAATGGCAAACCAAAAAGAAAAGCAAATTTCAAATTAGCAAAGTGGCAAATAGCTGAACCACAAAAGCAAATAGAAATGGATTAAAAAAATTGAGGGTTCGACTTTATGGGTATTTTCACATTTTTAATTTGTAATTTGTTAGTGGACCAGATTTGTTTGTTATACCAGTTGGACCGTTAGTTTGCTACAGTAAGATGGTCGAACAACGGTTTGAAACGGTCCAACATAAAATTTTGGTTTTTTACTCATTTTAAACCAGAAATTCCAGCAAAACCTGGTCCGACAGATTTGACCGCCCGGTCCGGTCCGGTCTGGGTTTCAGAACATTGGATCAAAGTGACAAAATTTCTAAAGCTTTTTATTGGCAATATAGAGAAGCTTTCTTATTTCTTTCTTGAACTCATGTTTCTTATTTCAATGAAGATGATTGTTTCTTTCATGTTTATTATGAACTTAATTTATTCTCTAGGGCTAAGATGTAGCCCAATCTCTTGATTATGTGTTGATTTATGCATGTTAATTTTTATTAAGAATTTTTCCTAAGTTCTACTATTATACCTAATGCTTTTGATTCTTTAGGGCCCAAGAATTGAATGAACTAATGGACCAGGTTGAGATCGAGAGATGATACTTAGTTGGTCTACAGTAGTAAAACCATAGTTTGAGCGAATGCTAGAGATAGGTTACCGCAACTTGTG